ATGATAGGTGAATCATCGAGTCTCCTAATTTTTAAGAAGCGATAACGATTCTCTATCAACAAAGAAGTTAAAAAAAAAAAAAGCAAGAATAAAAAAATGATATACAAAAAAAAGGCATACTTGTTTTAATTTTTCTATCTTCTTTAATTAGTTTAGATAATCAAATGATAGACGAATTGTCGAGTCTTTTAATTTTAAAGGACTAATGACAATTATATTTATAAGCACTTCTTATACCAAATAAAAGTATTACCTTCTCTTATATTTATAAGCTACGTATATTTGAGATTACTTAACTTATTATTTTGCCTTTATATTTGTCTCGAGGTTTCAAAATTATCATTATTTTAGTAACTTATTCAATATCATTCATGGTTATAGAGCTGGCTTTATCGGAACCAATAATTAACTACTATCCAATTTCTCTCTTAATTAGATATAATATGGATGAATATTTTTTTTACAGAATGGAAATTAAACCTAAATACTAGATGAATAATGTCATGCGACATATGGATGAAATTTTTTCATAAAATAAAAATTAAACCTATATACTAGATGAATAAAGTCAAGCGACAAGTGGACGATCAATAAATAGAAAAAATAAAAATTTTCTCACTTGATTCTTAAGCTACTCACGTATTTCATATCTCGAAATTTAAATCCCATTTTCTTCCTTACAAGTCCAATTTTCAATTGAATTATGATACGGCTCAAATACATACCATATTAAAAAGTTTGTTTTGTTTATATTGATAAAGTAAAATCATGCTAATTTAATGAAAGAGCAACAACCTCAACTATTTTTCGTAGGTTTGTGTTCACAATCAATATTAACATATTGTTCCAAGGAATTGTTGTTTGAGAAAGCATTTCCACAGTAATCACAATAAAAATTATTTTCATGATGTTTGAATTTACTATTACCATAAACATCTTAAGCATCCATAAACTTTTTGTTATGTGAACATTTAGAATGTACATAAAAAAATTTTCTTAGCAGTTTTTTTTCATTTTATGCTAATTAATAGTCACTCCTTTTATTCTTTTCTTGTAGTCTCACTATGTGATTGTGATATCAAAATTATATTTATAAGCACTTCTCATGCTAATATAAAAGTATTACCTTTTTCTTATATTTATGAGCTACGTACATTTGAGATTACTTAACTTATTATTTTGTGATATAGAGAAATCAACCTTAGAAGGAAGAGAGGACTGAGGCAGAGAACGAGAAAGGATGAAGAAATTAAGTTGAGGATTTCTCTCAATTAGGGCTGGAATAAAATTGAGGATTTCTTTCAATTAGGTTATGAATGGGTTAAGCAACCCAATGGGCTTAATGAGTAATGGGATGGGCATTCAGTCATAGAGTTAGGTCGGATGTATGGCCTGGACTTTGGGTTAAACTTGTTAGGTTTATGGTTCTTAGATTAATAAGAAGGGAAGGGAATGTAACACAATAAGGAATGCTTATATATTGTAACCGAATGATATTGTGTACCAATAAAGAATAATATACAGTTATAACGAGTTTTTTTTTCCTTATAATAAGTTATTTTTGAATCTTATTTCTTGTAATAGAATAGTTTTAAACATATTTCTCATAATAAGGCACTATATACTAAGTAGGAGCCATTTCAATTAAATATATTGACACATGAGCTTTATTTTTTAGCTTCAAAAATCTTATTAGTTCTTGACCCACGCTTCAAACTTAAATTTCTACTATGTGGGTATGAGTCGATCTATGGCAAGGATGCTGACTTACGCCTACTGAAATTTCATAACAATCTTACATGTATTTTCAACAAATATACTAATGGAACCAATCATCTGGAATCCTCTGCTACCGAAAGTAGTGATAAGAATTCTTTAACATCATATCATCCAATTTCTGGTGATAAGTTCTAGGGATTTTATGCGTGGCTTAAGAAAAAACATGATTACAATATCGTGGAAACACAAAAGTCTGATCTTGATCGATATTTAGAAGAGCCTCTAGAAAGCTTGGATAGCGTTTTTGACATATTAGCGTGGTGGTGTGTTAATTCTCTAAAGTTTCCAGTCCTTGGAAAAATGGCTCATGATTTCTTGATAATTTACAAATTAATGTCTACTTATAGCATTGAAGCTGCAAAAATGAATCTAGCATTCAACGGCTTGCCCTGAAGTCAGCAGAAGCTTTAATATATGGTTAGGATTAGTTGGAAAGCTTTGAAAGAAAGTTTGTTTCTGTATCTCTCTCATTTTAAAGTATTTTAGTGAAATCATATTTTTTTTTCTTCTCTTTTTCCCCTTATATTTGATGTGAGGAAACTTGAAAATTGAAAGCCTATTAGTCTGCAACGAGATTATGTGACCTTTGACAGACTCGTCAGCTAGAATCAAAGGAAAAGAAAAGTCCAGTGACAGAGAAAAAGGGTTTCCAAAATCACTCATAAAAAAGAGAGTAAAACACACCATCTGATTAATTAAAAATGGCATGCTTGTAATTTAAATACAATAGAAATGGTTTTTGAGTACATTTGCCAATGAAAGGAAAAAGCTGACATGTCAATGTATTTAATTGAAATGACTCCTATTTAGCATACAGTGTCTTATTATAAAAAATAAATTTAAAACTATCCAATTATGAGAAATAAGATTTAAAAATACTTTATTGTGAAAAAAAAACTCCAGTTATAACAAACTCTCTCTCTCTCTTTCCTTCTGTGTCTTATCCTATTCCCCTTCTTTCTCTCACTCTGTTCTTCATTTCTTTCCCTTATTCTTCTCTTGTATCATTTTGCCTTTATATTTGTCTCGAGATTTCAAAATTATTACTATTATTCTGCAACTTATTTTAGCAACTTGTATCATTGCTTATTTAATATCACAATATAAATTATTTTAGTCATGTTTGAATTTACTATGACTACGAAGATCTTGAACATCATTAAACCCTTTTGTTATGTGAACATTTAGAATGTACTCAATTTTTTTCGTCACTACTTTTAAGATCTTGACAATTTTTGCTCAAGTTATTTGCATGAAACTGCTATAAATAATGTAAGGATAATTAGATCACCTTATTTATATAATGCCTTGGATTCAATTAAAAAAAAAATCAAAGAAAACATCTTTTTATATATTGCTACATCTAGTACATAAAAGTGTTTTATTTTACTAACTTTAAATTTACAATAACAACATTAGAGTTTACTACTAGTACTATTCAAAACAAATATAGCAATATAACTAGGTTTCATAATTTTAAGTTTGATATGAACTAAGGAACAAAGGCAGCCTTCATAAATTGACTCATGCCAATTAATTCAATGAAAGAATAACAATCTTAACTGTCTTTTATTAGTTGGTGCTCACAATTGATATTGATATGTTGTTTTAAAATTTTTTTGTTTTGCTGGGAAGGTATTTCTAGAATAATCATAATCGAAGTTATTTTTAGTCATGTTTGAATTTACTATGACTACCAAGATCTTGAACATCCTTAAACCTGTTGTTAAACATTTAGAATGTACACGATTTTTTTTTTCCTTAGTAGCAGTTTTTCCATTTTGTGCTAATTACGGTTTATTCTTTTTATTCATCTTGTGTAGTCTCACTCTGTAATTATGATATCAACATTATATTTATAAGCATATTTCATGCCAAATAAAATTATTACCTTATCTTATATTTGTGAGCTACATACATTTGAGATGACTTAACTTATTATTTTGCTTCTATGTTTGTCTTAAGATTTCAAAATTATTCTTATTATTCTTATGTTTGTCTTAAGATTTCAAAATTATTCTTATTTTACAATTTTTTTCAATAGCATTCATTTTTCATAGAATGAAAACTAAACCTACATATTAGATGAATAATGTTAGGCGACAAGTGAATGACCAATGAAAAGAAAAAAATAATTTCTCTCACCTAATTCTTAAGCTGCTCATATACTAATCACTTTTTTTAAAAAAAAAAAAATCATCCACTTGTTTATAGACAATTGATCTTTAGTTGTACATAAATATTGTATAACCTTTTTTGCAGCCACCTAGAGATAATGTCTAAAATCACAAACCATCTGCTAAGCATACCAACTATAAAGGCTATATCAGGCATTGTACAAATTTTAGTATACATTAAACTATCAAAAATGCTAAAATATGATACATTTTTCATTGATTTCCTCTCTACATTATTCATAGGACATTGATCTTACTCAATTTATCTTCTTTATAGATAGTTATATTTCCAAACTTACAATCTTGTATATTACATTTATGAAAAACCCACTTCGAGATCAATCTCTTAAAATCTCTATACCCAAAACATATGATGTCTTTCCAAGATCTTTTATATTAAATGTCTTGATAACATTCTCTTATTATCATGAAGCAACTTCAAATCATTACCAACAAGCAATACATCGTTAACATAAAAAATTAAAAAAATAAACTTACTTCTACTGATTTTGAGATATATACAAGGATCAATTGTATTTTTTCCAAAACTAAAAGATTGCATTTATTCATAAAACTTTAAGCACCACTATCTAAATGCTTGTTTAAGTCCATATATTAATTTTTTTAAGTCGACACACCATATGCTTCCTACTAACTTCTTAAAATTTTTCAGGTTGTTGCATACTCTTCAAAAACATCTCCATTTAAAAAAGTTGTTTTCATATCCATTTGATGCAACTCTAAATAATAAATATATAGTTAAAGGTACAATGATCTAAAAAAAGTTTTTAAAAGAGATGGATGAGAAAATTTCAGTGTGATGCTAAACATGTCCTCTAGAATACTTTTTAGTTTTAAATGCACATTTAAAACCAATGGCTTTAAAGCCTTGCAAAATCTCTACTAATTTTCAAACTTCATTTCCAGACATAGATCTTATTTCATATTTCATTGCATCAACCTATTTATCACATTGTATATTATTAATAGCTTGAGAGTATCTGATAGGATTGATTTCTTGTCCAATATCATAATCTTTTTCACCTATAAACACAACATAATCACTAGACAAAGTTGGCCTTTTGTTTCTTTGAGAACAACAATGCCATTATGTTTAAGAATTTCAGTAGGTTGATGATCTATGACAGATGGATCAATCAAATATGGTGGATCAATATTCATTTGAGCTTGCTTTATAGACTGATACACAACCTTTTCTTTTACAAGAGGGATGGAAACAATAGTTGGTTCATGCACTACATACTTTCCATCATCACAAGAACAATCCCAATCACCTTCATCATATTCTAAGAATTGCATCAACAGATTCAACAATTCTTGTGTTCTGATTCGGAAAATAGAATCTATAGGTTTTGGATTTTCAAACTAGGTTTTTTACCCGTCATTATTCATATGGAGTTTTAAGATAGCTTTATTGTGTACTCTATTCATAAGGAGTTGTAAGATAGATTTATTGTGTACTCTGTTAGGATATATAAGGCAGTTTTAAGAGCTTCATCCCAAACAGACTCAAGAAGATTACTCCTAGACATCATAAACCTATCTACATCATTAAAAGTAGGATTACGACATTCAGCCAAACCATTTCGTTCAGTGGATGTCTTAGAGATTGATTAAGCACTAAATAATGCTATGCCATTCTTACAAAATACCTTCTAAATTTTGGTAAAGGAATGGCTTCTAACCCCATGTGATTTGATTCATCAACAATATAAGATTAACAGGGTCTCTGAGACAGAGTTAAACGAAAATGACAACATCCAACCTCTAGGACATTTCCAAAGAAAGCTACTACTATTTAAAGCCTCAGGAAACCAATGAAACGAAGGCAAGCTACAATTTTATATTCATCTTACGAGCTAATACATGCCCACATTGTGTCACACTTCTGAAATAGGTGAACCACAAATTGACCAGACAGAAATTCGCATGTAGTGTAACAAAAAAAATTTGAATTAAGTTGTTGAAGGCAATCACTAGTTGCTCTGTCTCTGTTAGCATACACATAAATATATAACCAGAAGAAAATAAACACCAACAAGGACAAAATTTCAGTTCCAAAATCATAAAAATACAAGACACGTTAGCATTAACCCTGCTTAAATGCAATGAACGTGAAATTACACTGGTTCTAGATCGGTAATGGCTTTTTCCAAGATCCTAAGTCTGCTCACCTTTACTTTCGGTTCTCAAATTCTCAATGAAATTTGCTATAGTGCAACCGAGTTTAGCTACTGAGGATAGAGAAGAAGCAAATCCCTCTATAGATTTCAGCTCTTCATGAAATTCTGGATGCAACACCAGTGAAGAGATGTCTCCATCCAGCACTAACCCAAGCCATCTGACAACATCTTCAAGTTTAGGAACCCAATCACAAGACTTTAGACCCAACACAGATGAAGCCTTCGGACAGGGACCTACCATGAAATTATTATGCATGTTGTTGTATTCAATATATTATAATTATAATTTTTACATCATATTTACATTTTTTTTCCCAAATCATGGTACTTTTATATCTTTATTTTCAAAATAAAATATCTTTAAACTTATTTCCAAAATTAAGATAGTTTTTACCACATGAATTTCACATCATCTTATTTAATTAGTAATGCTTAATTAAACACCAGGTCTCTTTGTTTGAGATGTTTTAAAAAAGAAAAAAAAATAGTATTCACTTTCAAAACCTCATTACTCAAATTAATATTGGGTAAATTGATGAACAGAAGATGATGCAAGATTTTGTTCTTAGCATCCATGATCAAGGACATATCCGTTCGGATAAAAAGTACATTAAATCTTGAGGATTAAGGGAGTTTATACACAGTTCAAGAAAAAAATTAAGTGAGTTTTTTCATGATTTTAATGGCTCCATACCGAATCTCAAAATCTGTGTAAGAAGCAGTAAATAAACTGAGAAACTAATTTGATAAAATCAACAATTGAAAAAAAAAAAAAAGGTTGAAGAAGAAAAACAATGCTTGAATCTAAAATTGATTGAACCAAACAATCTGTATATCATAACATCAAGAGAAAAAAACAACAGACATTACTGATGAGAAAAGAGAAGCAAAAGCAAACCAGAAGAGGGCAGCAGTGTTGTAGCTAGGGGCAAGCAAATGATTTTTCGATTTGATTTCAGACAATTTCAGTTAACCGAATTGTCAAAAACAAAAATCTAAACTAAACCTAATTGAAATTCGGTTTTTTCAGTTCAAAAACTGATATTTTGGTTTGGGTTTAAGGGGAATTTTATTTTTTAAAATTTTAAATGGGTTTTGGGCCTATGGCGAAGGGTATTCATTTTTTAGCTTATGGGCTGGGCCATTACCCATCTTGCATACTTCCAAATATAACCTAGATTTCCAAATATTTGGTCTAAATCTTTTATGCCCATTTTACACAGACGAAGGATGTGTAAAAAATCTTTTATGCCTTTTATCCCTTGCGGCCTTGCCTGGTTACGTTCCTTACCTTTTTGGTTGCATAATGGTATTTACAAATTACATATGCAACTATAAGCACGTTTTAAGAAATTTTACTTTTATCTAACATGATGCTCTTCTCTTCTGAAATGCTTATTCTTTTGTCGGATAGCATATTATCGTGAACAAGAAAAAGTAGAAAATTACATAGTAATTATATATATTCTTAATTTTTAAAAGAACATCAAGAAGATCCTCCACTTCATTTTTATCAATCTCCTTCTCTGTCTTGCTGGCTTCTTTGTAGAGCAAGAGCTGGCACGTGACAGTAAAATACCAGTGACAATCAACTCAAAACATGGATGGCCATTTTTGGGCTAAAATCAACCTCACCTCACAACTAGGCCGATTAGTTTTGATGATTGTCACTTTTGCCATGAGGAAGGTCCTAAAAACCTCAAACTAGGGTATATAGTTTTCCTATACTTTTTTCACACTCATTCACACCGACCCTTCTACGAACTCGAAGGCCTTCAAGCGTTGATCATCTCAAAAGCTAAAAAAGTGTAATTTTAGAGCCTAAACGTCGTTTTTTGGCAAAAATCACCCCGAGGTCATGGCCAAAGGCAAGGAGTTTTTATGGGTGGCTCGTTTGGCATTCAACTAGGTCTAAAACTCGCTCAAAGCTTGGATGGCCATTTTTGGGCCAAAATCAACCTCACTCACAACTGAGGCCGATTAGTTTCGATGATTGTCACTTTTGCCATGAGTAAGGTCCTAAAAACCTCAAACTAGGGTATACAGCTTTTCCTATACATTTTTTCGCACTCATTCGAACCGACCCTTCTACGAACTCGAAGGTCTTCAAGCCTTTATCATCTCAAAAAGCTAAAAAAGTGTAATTTTGGAGCCTAAACGTCATTTTTTGGCAAAAATCACCTCGAGGTCCCGGACAAAGGCAAGGAGTTTTTATGGTTGGCTCGTTTGGCATTCAACTAGGTACAAAACTTCTCAAAGCTTGGATGGCCATTTTTGGGCCAAAATCAACCTCACTCACAATGGAGGCCGATTAGTTTCGATGATTGTCACTTTTGCCATGAGTAAGGTCCTAAAAACCTCAAACTAGGGTATACAGCTTTTCCTATATATTTTTTCGCACTCATTCGCACCGACCCTTCTACGAACTCGAAGGTCTTCAAGCCTCGATCATCTCAAAAAGCTAAAAAAGTGTAATTTTCGAGCCTAAACGTCATTTTTTGGCAAAAATCACCCCGAGGTCGTGGCCAAAGGCAATGAGTTTTTATCGTTGGCTCGTTTGGCATCGAACTAGGTCTAAAACTCGCTCAAAGCTTGGATGGCCATTTTTGGGCCAAAATCAACCTCACTCACAGCTGAGGCCGATTAGTTTCGATGATTGTCACTTTTGCCATGAGTAAGGTCCTAAAAACCTCAAACTAGGGTATACAGCTTTTCCTATACTTTTTTCACACTCATTCACACCGACCCTTCTACGAACTCGAAGGTCTTCAAGCGTTGATCATCTCAAAAAGCTAAAAAGTGTAATTTTGGAGCCTAAACTTCATTTTTTGGCAAAAATCACCTCGAGGTCGTGGCCAAAGGCAATGAGTTTTTATCGTTGGCTCGTTTGGCATCGAACTAGGTCTTAAACTCGCTCAAAGCTTGGATGGCCATTTTTGGGCCAAAATCAACCTCAACTCACATTCGAGGCCGATTAGTTTCGATGATTGTCACTTTTGCCATGAGTAAGGTCCTAAAAACCTCAAACTAGGGTATACAGCTTTCCTATACTTTTTTTCACACTCATTCACACCGACCCTTCTACGAACTCGAAGGTCTTCAAGCGTTGATCATCTCAAAAAGCTAAAAAAGTGTAATTTTGGAGCCTAAACTTCATTTTTTGGCAAAAATCACCTCGAGGTCGTGGCCAAAGGCAATGAGTTTTTATCATTGGCTCGTTTGGCATCGAACTAGGTCTAAAACTCGCTCAAAACATGGATGGCCATTTTTGGGCCAAAATCAACCTCGACTCACAAGCCGAGGCCGATTAGCTTCGATGGTTGTCACTTTTGCCATGAGGAATATCCTAAAAACCTCAAACTAGGGTATACAGCTTTTCCTATACTTTTTTTCACACTCATTCACACCGACCCTTCTACGAACTCGAAGGTCTTCAAGCGTTGATCATCTCAAAAAGCTAAAAAAGTGTAATTTTGGAGCCTAAACTTCATTTTTTGGCAAAAATCACCTCGAGGTCGTGGCCAAAGGCAATGAGTTTTTATCATTGGCTCGTTTGGCATCGAACTAGGTCTAAAACTGCTCAAAACTTGGATGGCCATTTTTGGGCCAAAATCAACCTCACTCACAGCCGAGGCCGATTAGCTTCGATGGTTGTCACTTTTGCCATGAGGAAGGTCCTAAAAACCTCAAACTAGGGTATACAGTTTTCCTATACTTTTTTTCACACTCATTCACACCGACCCTTCTACGAACTCGAAGGTCTTCAAGCGTTGATCATCTCAAAAAGCTAAAAAGTGTAATTTTAGAGCCTAAACGTCGTTTTTTGGCAAAAATCACCCCGAGGTCATGGCCAAAGGCAAGGAGTTTTTATGGGTGGCTCGTTTGGCATTCGAACTAGGTCTAAAACTCGCTCAAAGCTTGGATGGCCATTTTTGGGCCAAAATCAACCTCACCACAAGCTGAGGCCGATTAGTTTCGATGATTGTCACTTTTGCCATGAGTAAGGTCCTAAAAACCTCAAACTAGGGTATACAGCTTTTCCTATACTTTTTTTCACACTCATTCACACCGACCCTTCTACGAACTCGAAGGTCTTCAAGCCTTGATCATCTCAAAAAGCTAAAAAAGTGTAATTTTGGAGCCTAAACTTCATTTTTTGGCAAAAATCACCTCGAGGTCGTGGCCAAAGGCAATGAGTTTTTATCATTGGCTCGTTTGGCATCGAACTAGGTCTAAAACTCGCTCAAAACATGGATGGCCATTTTTGGGCCAAAATCAACCTCGCCTCACAGCCGAGGCCGATTAGCTTCGATGGTTGTCACTTTTGCCATGAGGAATATCCTAAAAACCTCAAACTAGGGTATACAGCTTTTCCTATACTTTTTTTCGCACTCATTCACACCGACCCTTCTACGAACTCGAAGGTCTTCAAGCGTTGATCATCTCAAAAAGCTAAAAAAGTGTAATTTTGGAGCCTAAACTTCATTTTTTGGCAAAAATCACCTCGAGGTCGTGGCCAAAGGCAATGAGTTTTTATCATTGGCTCGTTTGGCATCGAACTAAGTCTAAAACTCGCTCAAAACTTGGATGGCCATTTTTGGGCCAAAATCAACCTCACTTCACAGCCGAGGCCGATTAGCTTCGATGGTTGTCACTTTTGCCATGAGGAATATCCTAAAAACCTCAAACTAGGGTATACAGCTTTCCTATACTTTTTTTCACACTCATTCACACTAACCCTTCTACGAACTCGAAGGCCTTCAAGCGTTGATCATCTCAAAAAGCTAAAAAAGTGTAATTTTGGAGCCTAAACTTCATTTTTTGGCAAAAATCACCTCGAGGTCGTGGCCAAAGGCAATGAGTTTTTATCATTGGCTCGTTTGGCATCGAACTAGGTCTAAAACTCGCTCAAAACATGGATGGCCATTTTTGGGCTAAAATCAACCTCAACTACAAGCTGAGGCCGATTAGTTTCGATGATTGTCACTTTTGCCATGAGGAAGGTCCTAAAAACCTCAAACTAGGGTATACAGCTTTTCCTATACTTTTTTTCACACTCATTCACACCGACCCTTCTACGAACTCGAAGGCCTTCAAGCGTTGATCATCTCAAAAGCTAAAAAAGTGTAATTTTAGAGCCTAAACGTCGTTTTTTGGCAAAAATCACCCCGAGGTCATGGCCAAAGGCAAGGAGTTTTTATGGGTGGCTCGTTTGGCATTCAACTAGGTCTAAAACTCGCT